GGGAAAGAGCTACTCCTATACACAGGAAGCAAATTAGCTGATGTCTGAACGGGCTCTTATCTCCTTTTTAATTTTTGTATGCTGTTTTAGGTAACCCCCTTCATCTCCCCCTTTCCCAGCAGCCCTGGTCTGATTGCCCAGTTATTGTGATCTAACTTTAAAAAAAAAATTCTCCTTGCTCCCTGCCAGCTACAAATGACTTGTCTCTTCTCCCTCTTTCACCAGCCAAATCAGATGGCACCTTCACTAAGTTCAAGTGTGGGATGTTCTGGGTGTGGGATTTTTCCCATGCCTGTGTTGCCAGGGCGAATCTATCCATGTTACTGTAACAGATTCATATCCTGAGCTTCTAAAGAATTGGCAAAAATCTTTGAAGAGTCTGGGAAAAATCTAGTTGCTGGTTCATAGAACTGGTTGCACGATATTGTGAGAGCAGAGGGGCTGGGGGTGGTTATTGCTTGTTTTTGTACTATTGGAGTCTTGGCCATGTTCTGGCCACCAGGATTTCCTAATCCAAAATGCATGCTAGCTGGGGGCAAAGTTGCCCTGTCATCTTCTGCACCTCCTTTCTATGTGGTCTTGATCAGTTTATTGCTGCAATGCTTTTCTTTTGTACTTGGGGAAGTATGTTGGCTTGGGCCATCTTCAGACCACGAGGCTGTAAAATGAACAGCTCATCATCATGAGATCTGTAGATGTATCCAAAATCCTGCGGATGTGTGTACAAGTGATCTGGATATGTATTATCTTGGACCCATCCTAACCTTTTAGGTTGTTGAAAGGGGGTGGCAGTTTGTTCTCAGCATGTCCTGATCCCTTCCTCTCCCTTGTCCTTAGCTGTCGTCATGCTGCAATAGCAAAATACTTCGGAGATGCCACCCCCCCTTGTAACAAGAGCTGCGATTACTGTAAGAACCCAGGAGCAGTGAAAAAGCAGCTGGACTCACTAGAGTGCTGCAGCAACAACTGGAGCAAAACCTGCATCGGACCTGCGGGTTCATCTCGGGGCACCTACGACCCGGAGCTGTACGAAGGAGGGAGGAGAGGCTACGGAGGCTTTGTCAGGTAGGCAGTTCAACAGCAGAATTTGATAGCTCGGCCTCCCTGAGACTGCAGCCAACTGCGCTGGAGAGAGTAGGGCCCTTCCTCGACCTCCACAGCTGCCAGCCCAGCTGCTCCTGTTTTCAGCAGATGTTTGTGCGGCGTTTTCCTGTAACTTCTGGCATCGGGGACTGGAATTTCTTTTTCCGCACGCGTTGGCTGCCTCCCTCGAATTTATGTCCCCAGGAGCCAGAAGCTGTTCTGGCTGACCCGAGAACAACTGACTGCCCCGTAGGCGGTATGGTGGTTCAGGGAACTGATCTAAAAAAGGTCTGTTTGAACTAGGCCACTAACTGTGAGAGAGACTCCAATCACACATTTAGGGCTTAGTCCTAGTATGGCCTAAGTGAGTTGCTTAACCTCTTTCTCTATGGAAACGTGGAGCCGTGGGGTGGAATCTGTGAAGTGCTATCACCGTTGGGTGCTGGTGCCGAGCACACACGAGGTATTTTTCCAGGCACAAAGGGATTTTGTGTTTAAATGAAAGGCGGGTAGCACTGAGGGGCTGCAGCTATTGTGTTGTCAAGCCTCGGTCCCTCCGCACTTCCACCTGTGCAGCTGTCTCTCAGTCTGCAGCACTGTTTGTTCTTCGTTCCTCTGGTGATCGGGAGCTGTTTGTTGCACTGTTAGCCCATTGATTTTTTGGTAGGCCTTTTAATGGAAGAAAATATTGTTCAGCTTGAGGAGGGGTGGAAGAGGAAGCTTTAAAGGCCCAGGCAAATGAACAAGCTGCTATGAGGTGAATGAAGGAAAGGGTTTACAATGTATCGGCTACTCCATAGTAATTTCCCATGCATGTCCTTTGACCCTTTCAGTAACTGAAAGGTAATCCGCAGTAGCACAGCCCTCAGTGGAAGTCTGCGCACATGAGTATTTTTGGAAAAAATAATTGAAGTGAGCCAGGTTTTGAGCATTTTGTACCAACTGCTTCCTCTGCAGAGCTTTGTATCCCTCTCCTAACTCTCCTGTTTTCCCCAGGTATGACGAAGGCAGTGGTGGGAGTGGGGATGAAGCTGGCGAGGAGAGTCGGAAACGGGAGTGGAACAACTTCTACAAGAAGCAGATGAGTCTGCGCAAGGTGAGGTGAGATCCACAAGCTCGGTGCCCGGGAGGGCCAGTGCAGATGACTTTCAGCCACCTATAGCTGGTGTCATAAAGAGCTTAAGTGACTAGCCTGAGATCACAACTCGCAAGGAGTTGATACCAGCCCTGGAAATGGAACCTGGGAGTCCCGTGCCCTAGTTTTAGCTCGGGCTGTTAGGTGGCGCTTCCTATCAGCATCGGCACTCTTTTATTAAAGGCCGTTCTATCCCAGCTCCTGAATAGCAGCTATTGCTACTCACTCCTGTGTATTGTGCTGCTGCTCTATCTAGTTTCTGTAAATTGCTCCTTTTGCTGCCTTTCTCCTTCTCATTTGTGGACTGACCATATTATGTAAAGAAATTCTCCTTGACTGTCCATGAGCTGGCCCCTCCCCTGGACTAGTAAAGGGGATTTGATTCCTTAGCTTGTTCAATATTGTACTTTGGCCCTAGTCAGCCTCTTCTCTCCCTAGAAGATGAGCACCGTTTCCCGTTTGATCTTTCTCTCATCTATAGCGACAGCATGTGTCTGGCCTTTCCATTGCAACTCTTAATCATTGCCCTCCCCAGGTGTTCTCTTTTTTGGTGCCACCTCCTCCCTTTTAGAATTTGAGCACTATTCTTCTCCAGAACATGGTGGTAAGAGCTACATCTGAGGTGTCCTGTGTTCTTCATATACATCAGTGGAGAAGGAAATGTCTGACCAATCTCTGTGTTCCTGCAGGGCAGGGAGCCTGAGAAGGAGGCCTTTGTCGCTCCAGGTAGAACTCTCTGTTGCTTTTGTTTTATCAGTGGGTCCCCAACAAGGAGAGAGTTCCCTGGGAAAGACGAACCCTGACCATTGTTGCAAACCCAATGCCTTCTATAGTATCAACTTCAGGGATAACCAGCAATGATTACTTACTGGTTCACTAATCCAGAGATGACACAGCTGGTTCCAGTACCTAGCACCTGGAGCTTGCATTAATTCAGAGCAGTGGGCTGGTGGCTGTGGAACTCTTTACTGGAAGAATTGGTCCGAGTCCAACTCTGGCCTTGCCCTTGCTAAGGTATAGAATTCATCTGTTTGAACTGGCCTGCCCAATAGAAATGACAAAGAAAGACAGTCTCAAATGAGGTTGTCTTTCCTTATACCTGAATGCTTTGAAAGCTCTTCACAGCACTCTCACTCCCAGGAAGCACAAGTCTCATACTAGAGACAGAGGTCCCTACCCCAGTGAGCAGACTCTCACTTCAGCTTTCACTTGTTCTTCTGGAACGTGTAACCCCTCTGCAGAAAGGGATAACTTTGTAACTGCCCTGGTGGCCTTGTGGGAAAGGCAAGTCCAAGAGGCATTAGAATGTCCTTTTTTCCTCATGCTGGGAGGTGATGGGGAAAGGAGTGGGAGATGGAAACATCTCTTTAATACATTTCTTCTATGGTAGACGAAAGCTGCCCCTTGACGGATGCCTCCAGCAGAAAGATCTCCAAACTGACAGTGAAGGTAGGAGAAGGCACTTGAATTCAGACTGATGTTTCCAGCCCTTTGCTTCTCACCTCTTGCCTCTACTGTCTGCTCCTTCCTGGTCTCCATAGTTAGGAAAAAAAGCAGCATCACTTCTGAAAGAGGATATCCTTCTGGTTGTTCTTTTTAGGCTCGAGAACACTGCTTGAAGATGTTGGAAGAAGCTCTGAGCAGCAACCAGAAGGCAGCACCAGTAGAAAATGGGTATAAAACGTGAAAGGAGGTCCAAAGCAGCAAGGCCTTCCTGGCTCTGAGCCAGATCATAGGGATGACAGTTGTCACCACCATCTGCAAATTGCTCTCTGGGGCTTTACAAGAAGACTCGAGCAAAGTCTTGTCCCTCTTTTCTTTCTGGCTTGTTGGGCATGAGAGTTTATTTCGGCTTTGCTTAATGGCACCGAGGCCCCTTTTATAAGGGTGTTTAAAACACGGGATTGAGAATCAGGACTCATTGTTATCCCTATCTAGCTCAACTGGTGGTATTTCTCGGGGTTGCACTTCTCGCTGACCCCAATAGATGGAGATGGTGCACTTCACAAAGTTGGCTCTGAACTAGGTATGTCAGAGGAGATATTCTGGCTCCTGCCCCCTGCCGCCTCCACTAAGCCATTCCCTGGATACCACCAGGGAATTTAAATATCCTCAGGCTTAAATCACTGTCATTCTTTCCTCTGGCTCTGATCCTCATATGGCCCAAAGAATGCGAATCCCATGCCCCTAGGGGAGACCCTTCGGTAACCTCAGTACCTCTTTGCAAGCACAAAGGTGTGACTGAAGTTTGTGTTGCAGGTCAGATCCTCACACGTGTGCAGTGGAGATGGAGTATCAGGTGTTCAGAACCAGTAAAATGGCCAACTCCTACAAGGCAACTGTGCTCAAGAAGGTAAGAGCTGTGCTGGGGGAGCAGAGTGGTAGGGGCTGCTGCTGCTGCTGCTGCTTCTCCCTGCTCCTCATTGTTGTAGATCTGTAATCTGGCATGTGTCAGACTCAAGGGGGAAAGAAAGGGGTAGATTCCCTTTGAGCATGTCCAGTCTATGTTCCTGCCCTGCACATAGCTTGGAGCGCATCCATGGGTTTGGGAATATCTGTAGGTGTATAACCTAGGCTTGAATATAAAAGGGGCAGGGGGTTCTCCTGATCTTTCTGCACCATCATTACACACAAACATCCTTGGTTAGTCTGGCTGGTAAACTTGTGCTGCCTTAGGGTAATTCATACCCTTAAGTCAGGAGCAAGGTATGCTGAGACTGAGGACAGCTTCAAGACTCCAGCCTCTGGAAATGTTCCTGTTCTCTTCCAACCCCAGGTAGCAGAAATCAACAAAGCCTCGAAGGATGGGGAGTTGTATTCAGCTGGAACTGGCAACAGCAGCCATGAAATTAAGTCAGAAACCTCAGTGGAAGATGGTTTTCTCCCAGCATCCCAAGTCTATTCGGTAAGTATGGAAGGGCACTACCCAGAAGGATTACAGGGTTCCTGCTGGTAATGGAAGCCTCCTTCCTGCCTGGAAGATGTAAGAGTTGGTGGCCACCTGGCCATTTGAGAGTGCTAAATCCTTGATTTAGCTAAAAAGCCATCCATGCCTTTTTCTAAGCTGTGCGATCTTGTGCTGCAGCCCCAGCAGGGCATGTATAAAGATGGGGTTATAAAATAAGGGGTGGGCCAGCTTTTCTTGCAAGATCTTTTGTAGCTTTGGCTGATTCTTCCTAGTGGGCGCATTTCCTTTTCTGGCATCTCTGCTTGGTAGCTTCTGTTGAGGGGCTCCAGGAACTGAATGAGACTCTAGGATTAAACTACCCCACACTCCAGAGGTTTCTACTGGTTGGGAAGAAGCATTTTGGCAGGAGGAAGCTTGTCTTGCTATTTCCTGTGCTGGCAGGAACTCTGCTGCACAGGGTTATGGCTCTGATGTCCTCTGTGTTAGCTACAGGGCACTGACATGTTCTGCTACCTGCATTGTGTGCAAGGCGGAGATCCTGGTACGTGTAGAATGTAGCAAGCTCTAGTCCAAACCTCAGCAGGAGTTTTAGAAGCACTGCACTTCTCCACCAGCCTGTTCTTATGTTTGCCCATCTGTAGCCCCACAAAGTCACAAGACCTCCTGAGCCTCCATCTGGCACTGGCCAAAGTGGCTGCCTGTCGGATCAGGAGGAGGAAGCTCAGGGTGGGAGTTGTGGCATCCACTGTTTCATGGAGCATGGGACAGTCTCCACAGCTCTGTGCCCAGTGTTCCCACTCAGCTCTCGTCCCTTGTGCCTTGGAACCCGTCTTATTTTTTTTGCCTCAAGTAATTGCTTGTTCCCTTGTTTTGGGGGCCTCTTCTTCGTTTGGTGGGGAGAGGCCATTAATTCAGCCTTTGTCCATCCCCTCCTTAAAACCAAGCAGGCTCTCTCTGGCATCAGTGCTGAGGTCTCACCTCAAAAATAAGCCATCCACACAGAATAAGCTGCCTGTGAGGGAATATGTGTGTGTGATGGAAGGAGCCAAGTTTCATTTGAAGTTGGCAGGCATGGGGCTATTAAGCAGGAGTGGACTCCCTATGAGTGGGGGGGATGGACTCGATGATCTATTGAGGTCCCTTCTGACCCTAACATCTATGAATCTATGACTGGGCCTCCTTGACTGTCTCTGTCTGGCTTCCTCCTTTCTCTAGTTCAAGCCCAAGCGGGTGGGAGCTGGATTTCGAAGGGGTTCTGACTTGTTCCAGACAGCTTCAGAACTGCTGAAGACCAAGGAGGAGAGTGAAGTAAACTTGGTGGAGGAGGAAGAGGATTGTGCAGGCCCACAAGGCAACCACCCATGTGATTCAGGACTGGGTAATGGAGACACTGGCTTCGAAAATGAAAAAAAGGTGACCAAAGAAGCATGCACAAGTGCAGGAGGAGCAGTACAAGCCCCTGAAAACAAGGGACAGCAGCCCAATGACGATGCCAAAGTCTCCCTGTGGGACAGCCCTACCAAGAAGGCAAAACCCACCAAGAAGCAGCAGCTGCTGGCAGAAGCAGCCAGAAAAGAATCCCAGGACATTTCCAAATTCTTCTCCCTTTCCAAAGCAGTGCCAAAAGTTTCAGGACACATCTTGGCAGAGAGAGACAGCTCTCCTGTGAATGAACTACCTCAGTCTTCTCCGGAAGAGAAGCAGGACAAGCTAGAACCTCAAAGCAAAGAGACTCAAGAGGACAACAGGGTGTCAGCAGGGAATGTGCCTGGGCAGTTCCAGGCAGAGGACCCTGCGTCAAGGAAGACTGACAGGTTTGAGAGCTCAGAGACCGAACAGGGCTCTGGATCTGCACCCATGCAAGCAGAGCAAGATAGTGATGCTAAACCCAGGTGAGGGCTTCTGAGGTTCTGCCTCAGTTCAATCCTGCTATGGCCTTTTCCCCATCTGCTTTTTTGGCTGATTAACCCAGGCAGCCCCTTTGTGCTAGGGGGAGGTGGGAATATGTATTAAAACCCCACCTTGGGGATAGGGAAGTCCATTGTGCAGTTGCAGTCATTTGCTATAAATCTCTGGTAAAGCCATCAGCACTTGGAAAGCCCTTGTCAAGGAATAATTAAACCAAAGGAAATGATCTCGTCCTCCTCTCCTCTCCTTCCCCACAGTGCTGAAGCTGTTACAGAAGCTGAAATTGCTCCTGCTGGGGAAAGTCAGATTGGGAAGAGACCAGGACCAGAGGAGGTAAGACTTAATGAGTCTTTTTGTCCTGTTCTCCATCACTTGACTTTCACCCTGCATCTCCCTGGGCATGACCCTCCTGGTCTGAACTCACCTGATAAAATAGTTCTCTGGGATCAGTGCTGTTCCAGTTGCAGCAGAGCATAGGCATGTGTTCTCACTGGGAGCCTGAGTTCCTAGGATCTAGTACAAGAGGTGCTGCAAGACTTGGGTAAACTGCTTCTGGCCTGACTATGTAGTGATGCTGAACACTACCAACTCTGGGCAGAACATACTGAAGCTGTCTGTGCTCAGTCGTCTGGAAATTAGGCCTCTGGCTTGTGATGGTTTTGGTTGTTTTTCTTCCTCTCTATGAAATGTGGATGGTGATACTTAAAGTTAAGTGTAGGCTCACAGCATGTAGTTGGGGGTTCTGAGTATGTCTTACAGCCTCTGTGTTGCTGTAAATAAGATGGTGGTTGCTGCCTTCATGGAGAAACCGTCAAGGCTGACCTTTATGGACCAGCCAGTAGTGGGCATCTGTGCAGTTAGTACTTACTGTCCAGTCTTGCTGCCCCCAGCCCTACATTTTTGATGCGCGATTGCTCTAGAACCTGCCCATGCATGGGGCACCAACATGAATCTGTCAGTAGCCTTGTGTCCAGCTAAGTTCTGTCCAGGGGACCCGTTCCCTACAGCTATCCAAACTAGTTTTCCCATCTCTTTCCTGTATGCAGTTAGATACACTGGTCTTAAGAGAAGCTAATCCTAAACGTAGCGATCATAGAGGGTTTTTTTTCACAACTCCTCTCCCACGTCTCTGCGGAAGGAGATTGAGCCAGTCAAATGGATCTCGAAATGATATTCTCTAAGTGAGAAATTACAGGGTGGGATAAGGATGCTTGTTTCTCTGAAGGCAACATGGGCCTTAAGGGTCTGATACTGCTGCATGAATAAGCACTGTTCTTGCTTTGTTGTTAGGATATGGAGAGCCCCGCAGCAAAGAAGCTGCGGACAGCGGGCAAATCTTCCATCTTGTCCCAGCCAGAGGGCAAAGGTGTTGGCCCCGTAAAGAAGAAGGTGACTTTTGATCCAAGTTTGTCAGAGGTTGATAAAGAAGGAACCACCAAGACCATCCAGCCAGTTACCAAAGGCGTGTCCCTCAAGGAGACAGCAGACATAGTCGTCAAGTATTTGACCCCGTTTTACAAGGGGGGCAAATTTGCTTCCAAGGTAAGACATAATCTATGGCTTCCTCTATCAGGAGGAGACTGCAACAGCATCTTGACAAGGCTTTGGGATGTGGAAGGGATGCATGGACTCAGTGGGCTGCTAATGTTTGATTGTAAGGACTCCCTGCCACGTGGTGGTTGAACATAATGCACAACCTGAGTGAGTTCAGTTGTCTTAATGACCCAAGAAGCAAAACTCCCTTACAGACAAAGACAGGGTGCAGTCACTGTAGCCAGAGGTGTCTGGGACCCTGATGCCATGTCATGTTTGTCCTGTCAGATTTCTGAATTTTGAAGTTTGGCTCCAGTCTGTTCTAGCCAAGACCTTCAGGACACAACCTATATGCGTATACACGCACAGAGCATAGTATAATGGATCTCCAATTTTGTTCTGTAGACAAGTGCAGTCCAAATAGTATACTCTTAATGCTCACCTGCATTGTGTTAGGTGCTGGACAACTTAGAGATGTTCATGCTTGACATGGTGATGGTTTCAGCAGCAAGTGACTGTTGCTCTCTGCTTCTCCCTCTACACTTTAGGATCTATTTAAGGGGTTTGCCCGACACCTCTCTCACTTACTAACTGGAGAGAAGAATCCCATCCGCAAGACGGGTGAGTTGGCCACTGTTGGTGCATGGGGTTTCTTAGGTGCTAAATGGGTTAATGCTCTCTCAAAGTAAGGAGAATGTTGGACCCAGCTGGGGCAAGGGGTGGTGCAGGATTGTCTCTTCAAAGGGGCCTTATCCTCTCTCTACAGTTAAAGAAGAAGCGCAAAGACTCATCAAGGAGTTTTTCAAAACAAGGGTCAGGTGTGAAAACGAGGCAGACTGGCAGGAGCTGTCCAGCTTGGAGAGATGATCCCCCTGCTCTTCTGCTGGCTCCGTTCCTGCCTGTGGTCACTGGACTCCGAGGAGTTTCATGGAGATGCAGAGGGGAGCTTTCCAGCCCTGCTGCTTTTTGGTTCTTTGAATCTCTGCCACCTTGGTGGCCCTGACATCGTCTCTAGGAAAGCGACCCTTGTGGTTTTGCCTGCAGGCATTCTCCAGCAATGAAGGGACAATGCCATCTTTGTCAGCCCTTGCTTGGAGGTCTGCCATCGTTAATGCTGCTCTCCTCAGGTGCTCTGTGATGCCCCCCCACCTCTGCTTCCCACTGTGGTTTGAGAAGGGCTTTAGAACTGCAGGCAGTGATGGAGATGGATGTGGCTGGGATGCTGCTGCTGCTGCTTCCTGGCAGTGTCCCCCACCCACCCCCCAACTTTTATTTAAATTTTTACCAAAAGAAGCCTTATGCTGAGATCTCAGCTGCATGTGTTTTGCTCAGGGTTTGTACTGATGGGAGATGACAGCCATGTTCCTGACACTTATTCTAAGGGAAAG